ATATTACATATAAAGTGTGTAGCGGAAAAAAGACGGATCGATAACGAAATTATTTTATCTTAAAAATTTAGGTACAAAACGATACATCTCTTTTACACAAGTAAACACTTGATATAAATGCTACAGTGTTTTTTCCGCATAATAAACGAGTGGCACTGCATTCTCTCGGGTGGAAAGCGAAATGTGGAATAATTCGTGGTATGGATAGAATGCGGCGTATGCACTCGCGTTAGAAAATGTAATTTCAAGATCGCAACGCGCGGCTACTGGAAATTATGCCTCTTTAAATCCTACTATTTGACGGCTTAATTTATACCGGTAATCGTTTTTTTTTTTTTTTTCATGCGTTCCATTAGACCTTAGTAATGTCGTTTTCTACAACAGCTTGATACGCCCCGTTATTTTCTACCTGCGGAAAGAAGTGTCCGACGCAATAATACCGTGAGTAATTACTAAATTTGCATTCTTTCATTTGCCCGAGCGGGAATCGCATCGTCATGCAAAACGAATAAGTGAAAAATAGAACGTCGTTTGATATAATCAAGAGAGACATTTTTCTCTTTCGCATTTAGGATTAACAGTATGCGCAGCAAATATACTTTGAAATTTGAATATTTCTTATATATTTTCTTGTATATCTCTTAACAAAAAAATATATAAAATGTCGTTAATTTCGAGGTATTTATACAGTTAATGTTAAAAATGGAGAGCTATGGAGAAGAATGACGTCCGAATAAATTATCGTTATAAATTGATTTCAAGTTTGGTCAAGAAATTTTAGATTGGAAAATTGGCAATCGTTCTAAAACATCGTACATAAATTCAGCATTTTTTTCTTTTTTTTTTTGCGCTTGCCATCTCCTTTATTACTTCATTTAAGATTTTAAACGATCTCGTAAAAAAGCATACGGACGTAGACGCGTATGTTGCTAATATCGTTAGTATCGAATAAATACTTTCCATTCCTGACGGCATTTTTCATCCGATAAAAATTCGCGCGGTATCTCAAAGACGCTAAATCAGCATGCAGAGCAAGCTTTGTTAATATTCTTTATGATATTCGCTCGTCGTGGTAATCGCCGAATATGTGCGTGTTTTTGTCATTTCAAAACTTATAATATCACAATGAAATTAATTCGGTTAGAAGATCCGGGAAATAAAGACCACCGACGATGCGATGCTTGTGACATTTAAATTTTTATCTGACTTCACGCTCTAATTAAAGGGACCATTGAAAAGCACACTTATTATGTCGCTGCGATTCACAATTTCTAAATAGCGATCCGGTTTTATCAACTTTTTCAACAGTCTCGCGTTTCTTCGCCGATTCGCGGAGAACGAAAATTTAATAATGATTCTCCGAATATAGTAAGGGCGTGAAGATGTGAGCGTTAAGAAATAAAAGAGATAAACGTTTTGCACACGTTGCGAGTTGCAGTGTTAGCAATATCAGCTCGAAACGAAGAAATTTCAAAAAGAGGAAGGAAAGAACGCTCCGGCGACGGAACAATGGGACAAAAGGGAACGTGTGCTAACTTCGTGAGTGCTTCGAGATCGGTAATAACATCCTTAAGCAAAGACAACGAATTAAGAAGAGAAAAAAAAATATGCCAGAGTAAAAAATATAATTTTCGCTATTCATTAAATATTTGAAAAGTTACAGAAAATTAAAAAAAAATATATAATATCGATCCATAATGTTCATAATTGCACGAACAGCAATACTATAAGATATTCTGAAGAATAGACGCGCTAATCTTCATACATTTTCAAAGAAAATAATGGTACTAACAAAAGAACAGAAACCTTTTTGCCTATAAATCCATTTCTGGATCGAGCAACCCTTGCGAGACCACGTGTAAGACGCAATATTATCATTCCATCCGCGTTTGTTCTTACAAAAATTCTCGTCTCGCAACAAAACACGAATGCATTGAGAGGATATAGATGGGGGAAATGCGAGGAATCCATCTAGGGGCTTTACAGAATGATGCGCGGTGGCTTGTTCAAATATTCCACCGATGTATCTGATACGCGTCTGTGATACGACCTCCTCCTCGCGTGCAGATGCAGGCGCGGGATAGATCCATCGCATGATTCATGCAGCTCATGTGTGGCGTGTAGCTTTCCAACAAGCGCGGCCGCTATTTGGCACATCTTTCTATTGACAATAGGGAGACAAAGGAATGGCTCCTGTCAAAAGCCCCATTTTAAAATCCAATTTCGATCTTTGGATCGTCGTGCGCCTTCGACTCTATTTTTGCTCTAACGCGAACACTTCACTTTGGTATGCGCATACTTCCACTCTAAATTTTTGCTGACATTCCTTCGACGCCAGTCGTATGAAATTTTTGCGTTTGGTGTTATTCAGATTGCTCATACTGTCTCTAACTTAATTTAGCTTTATTAAATCTAAATTACGTAAAATTTTCCTTTATTCCAAGTATGAATAATTCATCGCGTCATATTTAATATTGCTTTAGTTTGAGCAAAAAATTTCATATTATGATTACTTATTATAACAATTTTTAATTATAGTTACTTATATCAACAGTTATCTTTAACCTTTCCAAACCAAACAAAGACTAGCGTTAATTATCAAGAGATTGTGAAAAATCGATTAAGTGCACTTTACGGCTTCAAGTAGGTGCTCCAAAGGTTGCAGAAGAAGCAGCTGTGCGCGATATCCGCGAACGAAAAGTACGGTCGCTATCGCCAATAAATATCTAACATTTTCCAATATGACCTGCATGGTCGGTAGCGAGGAAGCAATCGGAAAGGATAACAGCGAAACGAAGTAATTTCAAGTTGTTTGTTTGAACGAAGAAATTATGTTATCGTTGCCATTATATTACTTTTTCTACTCCATGATCGGATTTCGTATTATGCAACGAGAAAATAATGAACATTTGATAGTGACAACGATATCCTAAAGTTGAACGTGAAACGATAATAAACAAGGTGCTATGCAATCTCATTTTCATTCAACAAAGGAAATAAACTTCGATTTAATTAATTTTTTTTTTTTCTGATTAACAACCGCTGTACAGAATTTTGTGGAAATTCTTACATCATTTTTTTTCTATCGGAATCAAATATTTTATAAATACTAGCAATTTTTATTTAAAAATTACTTAATTATTGAAACACGCAGAAAGATAATGATATTCGCTGCAATTTGACATGATGTGCGCATGCTCATGTTTTCACTAATGAGCGATTGTATGACGCTGAGATTCGTTAATATTCGGTTGCTCGTTTATCGTGAATTTTCTTGAAATATAATGACGCGTCTTCGTGCTAAAGAGACGTGTTTTTGCGCGGCATACTTTTTTTTTTCATTTGCCACGAGCTTAATGCACCGGATATTCTGTTCAACGTTTCTATTGCGAGTTGACACTGCAATCGCTGTATAAAAGCGGAAACGAATGATAACTTTTTAAGATCCGAAATTAATAATTTCTAATAAATTCAGCAGATGTATATAAATAAAAAAGACGTTAAAAAGAATATTTCTATTCGTCTTTTATAGTGAATCGAATGAATATAATAGTGATCGAACTATACGCCTTTGGAAAAAACGCAATATTTTTGAATAATTGTCCAAAATTATTTGCCGCGACATGCTTTGGCAATGAACGTTTGTTCGTTGAATGGCGTATTGTGTGTGTGAATGTCGCTCAATTCTTCTCGCGTGAAAGTCGCAACAGAGGCGTGAAAGAGCACAGCTGTTTGCCGTGTCACGCTAATGCTCGCGGTAAGTAGAATCAGATAAAAACCGGTTAATCCATCTTGTGTCGCGCTCGTTTTGCTTACAAGCGTTAAATTACAAGATTTACGACAGCATCACGGGTGCATTAGTTACGATAAGTTACTTAAATCGGCGGTTGAAGATTTTGCTGATTCAGCTTTCATCTAGATGAGAGTGAGAGCTGCGTTATTACAGAAATAAACAGCTCTATTATATTATATTATAAAAAGTCACGCCTTACTTATCGTAAAAACGATATGTATCTCACACTCAATTATACTGACGTAAAATCACGAATAAAAATTATTTCTGTTCTCTAAAAGTTATTCCGTGCATTAAACTACAACTATCAACTGACAAATCAACGTACAAATTATACGAGATTTCCTTTAAATAAATTTTTTCATTGTGTAGAATAATCATTTTTTTCTAATATCTTTTTTTTCTGATTAATTCGCGATACATTTCTGAATATTATATCGCGATATTATTTCTAAACAGAAATTTGATCGAAAGGCATCGTCTGTCGTAGCTTTTCAATATAAAACGTTAAACGTGTCAATAAAATTAAATCTCTTTACGTTACGTACAATATTTTAGTAATTTCTGTGTAATTAAATTGTATTTTAAATATATTTGTGCCGAAAAAGAAATTAAGCTTTACGTTCATTAAATAATTCGTGATCAAAAGGACTGTAACTCTGAAATCATAATTTACCGTAATTTATAACTCTGATAGTTCTATATATGTAATCTGTATTTGCGAATGTGTGCACCATAAGTGCACTTAAAGCGGATTTATCAACATACCGGGGTATTTATACGGAATGTCGCTAATTAATTGCAAAATATTAATACAGAATTCTGTTTTCAGGGTATAAGCACTCGCAACATTTCTAATTGAAGTAGGTAACGAGTCGCGTAAAACGAATAAAATGAGCAACTTTTCCGAACTTTCACGTTAACGCAAGTCGCATTACGTAAAATGCCTTAACGTCGGAATTTTAAGAACGGTTCTCTTTATTCATTAGGTTTTTTTTAATCAACGAGTGCATTTCGCTTAACGCGCTTTAAATGAATTTTAAGAACAGTTCCTCTCTTTTATTCATTAGGTTCTTTTTCTTTTATTCTTTTTGTTTTAAAGTCGACGAGAGCAATTTGTCGTTACGTTTCCATATCTAAATTCGCATAAATTTTCCTCCCAAAAGAAGAGAACAATTGTAAAAGTAGTAATTGTCGATGTACTCACCTTTGCGAAGTCAATTTTTAGTGTGCAGCAGCCGGAGTATATGTCTGCTCCATGTAGCGTCTCTTTTGCTCTGGTTGCTGATTCCACTGAGTCAAACGTGATTATCAGAAAGATCAGTTAAGGATATATGACAATTTGTGTAAAATTGTGTAAGAAGATAAAAGTGCTTCACGAAGGTAGAATTTAGTGTACGTTATAATTATTATGTTTTAATTTACGTGATATGCGTATTTATGTGATACGTAACTCAATTTGAAATTATTACACCTTATTTAATAAATGCTCATATGTACCAGTTTAAGCATTTGTATATAAAAGTAAAAATTAAAGATGCGATAAATATAATTAGAAATTGCTTATCGTACAAATCAAATTGTGTGGATTGTAATTTTCATCAAGAGCTTTATGGGAAACATGTAAAAATATAGCATTCTGACAGCACAAAAACTTCACATAGTCTACTACAGTGTCACAATGTTATTTTCCTGCAAAGTGGCCGCGTCACGCAGTATAAACCGGCGATAAAATCCGGCGTGACGCAAAGTTCTAACGAATTTATGGTCACGCGGAACGCGGCTCGACTATTATTCGGATCATAATAATCCGGGATATATTCCGGCAGGTGGATTTACTGAAAATACGATGCGCGTCCCTCGGCAGTAAAGCTCGAAGCGCGTTGAACGAGTTCGCGAACAGAGTGTGGAAAGAGTTCGTAGCGAAAAAGTCGAATCTCCGTCGAGTCTCCGTCAACCTCGAATCCCCCTTATAAATCTTCATTACGTCGTAATAACAGCGCATGTCTTGACAAAGTTTCCTCGGTCCGGGAAAGCGTGTCAGAGACGGAGACTTGATCCCGCGGGGCTTCGAGGTTCGCCGAGCTCGATGTAAGGGGGTGACCCTTGACCCGCACGCTTACCGCGCAGTTGCCTCGAAGTTTATCCATGCCGTACTATGTGTAAATCAAATTCGCGAGAAACGCGATGGTTTGCTCGTGTAAACCGTTTCCCGCTCATGTTGCTCGCGTGCGCCGTCGAACTCAAAGATGTTCTTTAAATCAGTTTTCTTATGTAACTGTTTGTAGAAATTTCAATGCAAATATTTCTTTGATAAATATATAAACTTCAATCAAACGTTTTGAATAAAATTCCTAGTAAAATATACAACTACAAAAAAATTTATTCTTAATTTTGAAAATTAAAAAATTCCGGAAAAATTGAGAAGAATGTTAAGAGATAATAAATTACTGCATCTCTTAAATGATTCAGAAGAAAATTGCAATATATAACTTTTTCTTTAAAAATATTTAGAATATATAAACATATATATGTAAAAAAAAAAAAACAATTTTTATATTACTATTTTTTTTTTTTTTGATTTTATGAAATAAATAAAAATCCGATTATTATTCTTATCCAGAAATTTCGTTATACGTTTCATCAAAAAGTTTACAACTTTGTTAATTTATTCTATACGAATACGAAGTATCTGCAGTCGTAAAATAATGTTTCGCAAACAAGACATTAGCGGTACACTATCTTTCTTAGTGATTTACTGCGGCGCGGCAGCGCGAGCATCGCTGAATTTAAAGTGTTAATTTACACAATTGAAATTTACACACGTACCTTCTGAGAAACGTTAAAACACAAACCGCCGAAATCGCAGGCAAAATGGTCAACAGAACAAAAATGCTGTAAAAATAAAATGTATTGCAAAGGATATTCAACCATGGCCTGTACGCCGTTTTTCTTGAAGATTACGATGCGCTGTACCTGCCCGCTGGGCGCGCTGATCGTGTGCAACACTTCCTGCAACAGAAAAGAGGAATGCACTTGAACAGATGCACGCTAGATATTTTAAGACGATATTTCCGTGCTTTGTTAATTTAGGTGATGGTGTATCATCTCTCGGCAAGTCTTTGAAAAATACTTCGAGATTAAAATGAGCGCAAATTAATTTTCGTGTTTAAACATAACTCGAATTTCAAATAAAGTGATTAAGAAGAAGAATGTTTATCTAATGCATTATCGATTTATGAGGATAAATGTATTAAAAATATTTCATTAATATTTTCTTAAAAATAAAGAAAAATAACAAAATTTTTATTCAAATTTAAAATCATTTTCTGACATAATGTTCGTTTAGGATACATTTTATTTCAAGCTTAACGTAGTTCAGTCACTTAATTAAATTTTTCTATTTTCTTCTATATCATGTCGTCAATTACTATGCAGAAAAATTTGTATTCTATAAAATCCTACAATTACTTATTATTTAGAAACTATATGTTGATATTTCACAATTAGAACAATCCTCATTCTTTTTAATCCGTCATTGAAACCTGTCATTAAGAGGAGTGGCGATAATTCTGAAGCACTTCGTACTTCCGTTAACCTATTTCTAGTACATGATCGATGCATCGTCGTATATCATACGCTGCAAATCGAATGAAGTTTACACGTTGCGTTCTCCAGGGGTATCCCGACATGCGCGACGTATGCAAGGTGTTCGATATAACTTCGACCATTTGCTCGCGCGCGCGCGATACTTGCAACAGAGGCAAACAAGAAGTTTATGTAGTGTGGATAAATTGCGAATTAAAAGTTTAGGGAGTTCGGTGAGACAAGTCCCAAACTGCATTTCAACTCATCCGCGAATATCGCCACGACTAGTGTATCGGCAACATAGTCTTTCGACAAAAAAATCAGTTTTATTGTAGCTATTTTTTCATTTGATGAGCGCACATGCATACAATACACACATACACGTGCAAAATATTATCGTATTGCTGTAATTCTTTATTATCTAATATATAGATATAATGCGAGTTTATTGATTTTTAACAAGAAACCGAGTTAGATGATTACATGAATTTATGAATGTAATCGTATTAAATACATACTGTAGATGCATCTGAGTGACGAATACTATCACTTGAGAATTAGATTAACTAGACATTGTAACAGAGAATAGGAGACGCTAAAGAGAGAGTAAGGGAGAAAACAGAGTTGCAACATATCCGACTGGCACTGATTTACATTGCAATTAGCACTCTCTAATTCAATTCTTAATCCGTAATGTCTTGTGAAAGTAACAAGGAGATATTTGAAGATTAACAGCCTGTTGAACGTCAACAAGATGTTAATATAATAAATTGCAATAATTATTCACAGCAACGTTAAATAATAATGCTTAATCTCTTTGCGACTGAATTAATTCTTCCTTGGTAATTTTTCGAATTAAAATGCCTATAGTAAATGAGTAACTTACGAAGAGAAGCATTAACATGATGATTCATAGAGAATAGTTAAACCGTTCTTTCACCCACAAATCATGATGTCTAAAGCTGTGAGGACGCGAAAGAAGGTGTTAAACATCGCGCAAATGTGTGTATGGATCGCGATATCTTTTATTTCAAAATAGTCGATAATTGAGAACATTTAGCGCGGAGCAAATGCGTGTTTACCTGTCGAGATGCCAACCGAGGAAATCTCGAATTTGCACGGCACGAGCGACGACACGACGTGGCTCGTCGCCAAAGTAGCTTCCCTGTGAATTCCCCGCGCAGCAACATCTTTCGCGCGGCTAGACGAAAACATGCAACTAGTGAGTCGCATCTAGTGAGTCACGTCGTTTATCCGTGAAAAATACAGTCGCGCCGTGACACTTAAATGCAGTTTCAACGCGCGAGACAGACCGTATATTATCTCATGCTCGCGATTAGTCATGCGATCAGACAATTGAGACGCAACGTCTGAACAAAGCGAACGAGATTGTCGACTGAATACACAATCTCCTCTTATAAAAGCTTAGTCTTTCGATGCTTGTGTAGTTGACTTGTTTCATTATAACGCATTGGATTTAATTGCGCGATTGTTGCCTCGGTACAACGTGATTTACTAAACCGGCTTATCTGTCGCGTTTTCGCGACGGAAGAATGTCGGGCCATAAAGGAGGACCGTTTTAATATCGTCGAAATCAATGTCTGAAATGCTGGAAATAATTAAAGCCTTTAAATTATAGAAAAAAAAAAAAGAAATTTCGATGAGAGAAAATTTTGAGACTAAAAGAGAAAATATGAGTAAGACAAATTGTCTTGTATCAACAATAATAAAAATCTTGAAAAAAGAAATGATTGAGATAATATATATATACATAACATGGATATTATTTTATAAAAATGTTTCTTAAATCAGCAGAAAATAAATGATTGTGAAAAGAAGATAACACAACTTGCATTTGTGGAGAAAAAAAAAAAAAAAAATACACACGATAATTACTTGTATGAAGATCTAATTGTAAGAGTCCCAAGTTTCCCATATTCTCAAGTTGAATAATAGTGCAGTCTGTCGGTAGGATAGCTAAGGGGTTTAATCCTCGTTCTTGAGCAGGTCAGGCACTAATAATAGATCTGCTTCGTCGGAGGGCATCAATCAGCGTGTCGCGCGCGCGGGCAAGAAGCGTATCGTATTGTCTCTCATCGGTATTTCCGTGTACCTCCGAGAGTGTTAATACGACTAATTCATCGTCGTTTATAAAACACGATCGGCTCGGAAAAGCGAGATGGTGATTTATAGCAACGGCGGCGGTATTTCTGTAGCGAGGAAATATTTCCGCGTTAGAACCGTTCTTTCCGGTTGATAAATATTCTCCAAGCCTTCTCCGGCTCTCTCACTCTCTCTCTTCCTCGATTCCAGATGGTTCTGGCCATAATGCTCGCTTTGTACCGGTCCGGAACCACCTCAAAGTTGAGATCCGCCGACCGCGAACGACAGAAATGTTCAGAGACGCGTGATGTCGCATATTAATTAGACAGGATGCACGAAACAAACGTGCATTTTGCAAATAATGAGACAAGACGCGAATTGTCGCAAGATATAACGCAAAGATGACAATGACAAAAATGACAGTAAATTTATTAAAAACACACTCCACTGTAAAGAGAACTTTTAGAATATAAAATATCCGAGTCACAACTTTGCGCGTATCAAGATACAGCTGCACAGGCGAATTTTTAGGGAAAGTACCTTTGCGTTTCTTTAGACTCGCATGTAAACGACAGTTCTTGTTTTTTTTTTTCTCCTCAGGAATCGAAGAGATTCCGCCGCTCGCGAAAGAGACGAAGATAAGAACTTTCGCGTCGGATCAAAGGTTTGCACTGCAATAAGCGATCCTTCGCCGATGGGAGATAAGGAAGACCGAATTTACGAACGGTACTTCTAATCTCGCACCAATCCCATTCGTACAAGACTACAAGGCGTGTGAAAAAGTGATGAAGCGCCCGCAATTACGACATCAATTTGCCCGGCACCGGAGTGGAAGACAGCGCGCCGGGGATGCACCTGGAAACTGGAGTATTTCCCACGAGTGCAATGCGCCGACATATACTCCACATCGGGGTGTATTCTATATACGCGCGGGTCTAATAAGCGTGACGCCTGCAAAGTGACAAATACGACAAACGGATTAAAAGGGCGACGAAAGTACGATATGTACCTACATATAAAAAATATATAAAATTATATTCATATCTTTTTATCCTCAAATACGATAATTTACAGAAATTAAGATCAATCAGATGTAAATATGTATCACAATTTTCAGTCATGAAAAGTGTAACCGTTTTTTGATATTTGACATTTTATAGAAAATATTTATCCCGTATTGTGCGTGCAAAAGATTTAATTGT